TAGATAGATAGATAGATAGATAGATAGATAGATAGATAGATAGATAGTAAATGATAGACAGATGATAGAATAGGTGGGTAGCTATAGACAGATAATAGATATTAGAGAACGTTATCAAGAGAATGATAAAATAAGGAAAATTCTGATATCTAAGAAATTTGTACTTCTAAGTTTTCTGTAAGTGTGAAATTGTATCAAGACAATTTAAAAAAATAAGTAAAATAAAATCACTTTCCCATTGTCTAGCCCCTATTTCTGGAGACAAGTGAAGAATCCACAGCAGCCTGCTGTCTTTGGAGGGCCTCACAACGGAACAACTCTGGGAAGGGTACAGCAGCTGGCCCTGCGTCACCTAGAAGGGTGTGCAGGAGGGCGGGCACATCCGCTCCGAGGGAGCTCAGCAAGACAGGCGCGGCAGGGTTCCTTCTTCCACTCTGCCCGCCACACCATCAGTCACCAACCTCACACACCACAGCATGATTCTCTTCGTCTTGGGCCTCTATTAGCTCAGCCAGGAAGTAGTCACCATAAATGTCTCTGAGAGTGCTGTCAAAGCGCATAAATATCGGCATGAGATCGTCGTGGTCTTCCACCCTGCGGAACAGAGAACCTTCTGTTTAGAGTTTGTCCCAGCCACTGCTCTCCTTCCTCAGAGTACCTACTGCGTTTCACCCTCGCTCTAAGCGCCAAAGATACCACAACAATCTTGTGAAATGAACTGATACTGCCACAAGCAAAACTGCAATCACTTGAGTAATTTCAACTATTTCAAAGAGCACTAAGTCCCTTGGAATGAAGAGTGACCAGAAGGGGAGGGAGGAGGGTCATGTAGGCAGAGGGGTCAGCATTGCTGGAGAACGGAAGGTAGGGCAGCATCTGTCAGGAACCAAAGTGCAGTTGAGGACAGTGCTTTCTGAAGGTCTTCTAAGGATTACTACTTCTGTAACATTATCCCACCAATCCCTTTCCTTCTGTTTGATTTTTTTAAAACAAAAAATCTGTGTGTGTGTGTGTGTGTGTGTGTGTGTGCGCGCGCGCGCGCGCGTGTGTGCACACGTGGGTGTCACAGCACTTGTGTACAGTCAGAAGACAGCTCACAGTAGTCAGCCTTTCTGTCATGTGGGTGCCAGAGTTCAAACTCAGGTCACCAGGCTTGACGACAAATGGCTTTAACGGCTGAACATTCTCGCTGGCCCTACTTCATGTGTTTCTGTTCTGAGACATCTCTACACTTCCTGTGGAGGGGGACGTGTTATGAAGGTTGCGAAGCCCTGCCCACCATTCTGGGGACACTTCACAAGGACCTTGGTAACTATTTAAGAAAGAAGGAACTAGGTTTACTGCCACACAATGATGCTGGCTCTTGGATGCCATTCCTTTTTTTCTTTTCAAAATACTTTTGAGAACACTGAGTGTTGTGTTTTACCTAAGTTCCTCTAATACTATGTTCCTGATACTAAATATATATTATATATATATATATTCCAACTTCACATTATTTTCTCCTACTATGTCTGACTTAACTACAGACCTTTGTTTTCTCTACCCCTTTCATCCATTACTCTATCATCTCCACTACCCGTTTTATCTTCTACATGTTCTCTCTGAGGCTAATACTAACCCTGCCTACTTAGGATCCATATGTGTATAAGGCTCAGGGTTTTACCCGTCTTCTCTGCCGCTCTGCTTCTCATGGCAAGCCCTCGAGACAGGCAGAGCCCTTTCCTGTTCAGATGGAGAAAAACAATGCTACCAGGATGATGAGAACCCTTGCCTGAGACCACAAAGCTGCAGCAGAGCCTGGAGATGAGCTCAGGCCTGCCGACAGAACCCTGCCTTCACCTGATATGAAGCTCAGAGTGCCCTTCAACATGGCATTCTTTATGACACTCTTTTTGAAAACTAGTAGCAAAAAACAGTTGAAAGATGTGTTCTTTGCTCAGTGACCAAAGTTCATCACCCAAACAGATGGGTCATCACTGTTCCGAAGCCCAGTGTAACAAGCCTCCAGTCTGTCACAGCTGACTTCCCCAAATTTGGAGTCTGGAGGAAATCTCCACCTAGCCCCAAAGATGAAACTTTTGCCTCTAGTAACACAGGCTCAACTGTTGGAATAATTTAGTCAGGCATCTACACACACACACACACACACACACACACACACACACACACACACACACA